GGGCTTTCAGTGCAGCTGGGAGAGCCTGGGGCAGCCCCCTGGGCTCTGCTCTGTGCCACTGTTCACCCCCTGTCGTGCAGAGTACACCAAGTCCGTGATCGACCTGCGCCCCGAGGACCTTGTGGGGGAAGGTGGCTCTCTGGGGGACAGGAGCAAGTCAGTGCCTGGCCTCAACACGGAGCTGGTGAGACCCTGAGTGCCACAGGATGGCTGCCAGGTGTCAGCTGGCTGTGCCCTACCGCTCCCCTCCCTGGCGGCTTGTCCCTGTCCTTGCAGGAGGAGGAGGAGGAGGACATCGATAACCTGGTGGAGATCCACCGGCAGCGGGTGGCCCGGGGCAGCATGCGCAGCGGCACCTCCTCGGTGAGCCACGGGGCATGGCCCTGCTCTGCTCTGCTCTGCTCTGCTCAGGGAGGCAGTGCCAAAGGCCTGGGTGGGAGGGATGCAGGGCAGGCAGCTCCTGGAGGGAAGGGGTAAGGGTCTTGTGTGTGGGGGCTCCTTCCCCTAGAAGGGAATTAAAATGCAGAGACTCAGCTCTCTTCCAGGCAGCTGTGTGTGGGCATCCCCAGCCACGGGGAGGTGAGGGGGGCTGTGCAGAGGAGGCACAGGGAATAACCTTGCTGAGGATGAGGAGGGACTGTCAGGTGATGCTGTGCCCACTCAGCTCTGCCTTGTCTTGCAGAGCACACTGGGGAGCATGGTCAGCATTTACAGCGAGGCCGGCGACTTCGGCAGCGTGGCTGTCACCGGGGGCATCTCCTTCTCCCTGAGCTACGAGCAGAAGACGCAGACCTTGTTCATCCACGTGAAGGAGTGTCGGCAGCTGGCCTTTGGGGACGAGGGCAGGAAGCGCTCCAACCCGTGAGAGCCAGGGGGGCGATGGCTGCTGCCACCACTGGTGGTGCCCAGCTGGGTGGTGGGTGCCCACCAGAGATGGGAGCTGTAAGTGGGAGGGTCCTGGTGAGGCAGAAGGTCTGGGGCTGCCCTGGGGAGCTGGGAGGATGAATTGTGGGGGGCCTTGCTGAAGTGCTGCCTGTTCTCCCCTCAGCTATGTGAAGACCTACCTCCTGCCCGACAAATCCCGGCAAGGGAAGCGCAAGACAACCATCAAACGCAACACCATCAACCCCCTGTACAATGAGCTGCTGAAGGTGAGAGGGGCTGGGCTGCAGCTGCTCAGGGGATGCTGCTGCAACAAGCAAGGGGAGGGGTGAGCTCCTAACCCTGCAGCGGGGTCTCTGCAGAGGATCCATGTCCAGAGGCTGTGCCCTGAAAGCTGCAAAATCCCTGCACTCCCAGCTGTGCCCTGGCTGTGCTGCCAAGCCCCAGTGCCATGGTGGGGTGGAAGCACAGCTGCAGATGTGACTGTGTCACAGGACATGTCCCTGGTTCCTGTGGCATCCCCCAGAGCAGAGGCATCCTGCTTACCCTGGATGTTTCCTTCCAAGGTGAAGGCTTCCTGGCCCCGGGGGCATGTTACAGTGGCAGGAGGGAGGGCAGCACACCACAGGGGTAGAGATAAAGTCTGGCCCCAGGGCAGAAAACTTGGCACTGCCCTTCACCATCCATGCTGTCTGGCTCTGTCCCTGAGTCTGGCAGTGCACCTCTGAGGCCAGGCACTCTTGCACAGCAGGAAGTGCGAGCTGTGCTTTGGTTTTCAGGCTCCCACAGACAGGTTTGCTGAGGTCTTGTGCTCTGACCACCTGAGGCTCTGTGGTCTGGCAGAGCTCTGCTGGTGGTGGGATGGCTGCATGCCGTGAATCCTGGCTCCAAGGGCCACCTCCTGGGGGAGCACAGGCTCCTGCACCTCTGCCCTGGGACTCTGCAGGCATGGAAGGAAAGAGGAGCAGGCTCCCGTGCACACCCATTGCTGCTCAGTGTCCTCTCGTGCCTGTGGGCTGTAGCTGATGGAGTTTGCCAGGCTGTGCTGCCTGCTCACCAGTGGTTTTCTCTCTCTCTCTCTCTCTCTCCCCCCCCACCCCCAGTATGAGATTAGCAAGTCCCTGCTGCTGGCGAGGACGCTGCAGTTCTCGGTGTGGCACCACGACCGCTTCGGCCGCAACACCTTCCTGGGGGAGGCAGAGGTCCCTCTGGGGGCCTGGAACTTTGAGAGCCACCTGGAGGAGTTCCTGCCCCTGCATGGCAAGGTGTGCCCCTGCTGCCCACAGCCCCCTTGCCTGGTCCTGCTGGGGGTATGGCCCTGGGTGGGCAGAGGGGTGTGGAGACCTCAGCCAAGCATTGCCAAAAGGCTTGTGCCAAATCCAGTATTTGGAGGTATGAAAACCCTAGATGCAGACAGCAGTGCTGTTGTAGTAAAAAAGGGAAAATCTTCTGCCTTGAGCCTGGCTTCCATCTCCTTGTCAGGTGATTGGGCCAAAATAAGATCCCAGAGGAGCTGGGCTACACTGGTCATGCTGGGGAGAGTTTTCAGGCACTTGTGCCAGCTCAGCCACATCTAGGAGAGGCCAAGTCCTTTGTCCCAGCCTGGGGAGGTGCTGCACACCAGGCTGTCACTGTGTGTGCCATGGCTTCTCTGCAGGGGTTGGTAATTCTCACCTCTTGGCAGATTGGGGCAGATGCTGCTGGTCTCCACCAGTACAAGGGGGAGCTGGTTGTCTCCATGAAGTACATCCCATCTGCCAAGCATCCTGGGGCTGGGAATGGCAGGAAAGGTGAGTGCTGGAGCTCTGGGATCAGCCCCCTGCAGGGCCTGCTCCTGGCCATGCAGGCTGGCTCTGGATGGGGTTCTTGGGTGGTGTCACTGCAGCCTTCTCTGCCAAGCTGCTCTGCCTGTCCTCAGGCTGCCTGAACCATCTCATTCTTCCCTGGGGCTGGACCATCGGGCCCTGCATGAAGCAATTTTGTCTGCCTTTGCCCTCAGCAGGCAGGGCCAATACAGGAGAAGGCAAGAGGAGATGCCAGTCCAGGCTCTGCACCTACCTCTCGGATGAAGGGTGTTCAGCAGGAACTTTCCAGAAGTTTGCAGTGGTAGAAATCAAATTTGATTAATTTCTACTGTGTTGGGTTTTTCCTAGGCAAAACAGGGGAAGGTGGTGAGCTCCAGGTCTGGATCAAAGAAGCCAAGAACCTGACAGCAGCCAAGTCTGGAGGGACCTCAGACAGCTTTGTCAAGGGGTGAGTGAGGGTCCTGGGGCAGGGCGTGAGGAGGGCACGGTCCTCCCTGGCTGTACTCCCAAAGCTGCTGGGGGACCTGGAGGAGGCCCTTGCAGGGTGCCGTGGTCCTTCTTGCTGAGCCCTGCCAGGACAGGCAGGAAGGGGGGCTCCAGGCCAGGTCCTGGGGTGCTGAGGCACCCCAGCCCCCAGAGCAGGAGGCGGGTGCCCATGTGCTGCTGACCCAAGGGCTGCTCCCCCAGCTACCTCCTGCCACACAAAAACAAAGCCTCCAAGAGGAAGACGCCCGTGGTGAAGAAGACGCTGAACCCTCACTACAACCACACCTTTGTCTACAACGGCATCAAGGCCGAGGAGCTGCAGCACCTGTGCCTGGAGCTGACGGTCTGGGACCGGGAGCCACTGTCCAGCAACGACTTCCTGGGGGGAGTGCGCCTGGGGATGGGCACTGGTGAGAGCTGCACCCCTCAAACCCTGGCACAGCACCTGGGGATGGGCACTGGTGAGAGCTGCACCCCTCACACCCTGGTACAGCATCCTGGGGATGGGCACTGGTGAGAGCTGCACCCCTCACACCCGGGCACAGCAGCAGCCTTGCTGGGGGGCTGTGCTGCGGGCACCAGGCTGCCCCAGCAGCCACCTCTGCCCTCCCTTTCCCCAGGCATGAGCAACGGGCAGGCTGTGGACTGGATGGACTCCACGGGCGAGGAGCTGAACCTGTGGCAGAAGATGTGCCAGTACCCGGGCTCCTGGGCAGAGGGGACCCTGCAGCTCCGTGCCACCATGGCCAAGCTGGGGCCCTAGGCTGTGGCACCAGGGCTGGCACTGCTGTTGGGAGCCACGCTCGCTGCACAGCCTGGCAAGGCAGCCAAACATGCGTTGGGTTTTTTTCTTATACTTTAATAAACATGACCTTCTCTAAACAGGCTTGGGCAGAAAGTCTTCTTGGCCTAGCTTCATTTAAAGCTTCATTTTCCTCTTGTCATAAGCCTTGTACCAGATTTCAGGCTGAGCTGCAGTTTGTGTGAACCCTCCCTTCTTCTCCCCCAGGCAAAATGCTTTTAAATGTCATTGTGTTTTTATTTCTTCCCATTCTTTTTCCTACCACCCTGTCCCAGAGTCTGCTCTCTCCTTGTCCTCTCCACCCTGTTCCCCATACACAGCCCAGCCCCAGCTGCAGCACTGGTGGATGGAGCTGTGTGGGGTCAGCCTGGGGGGGTTGGGGATTGTGGTCTCCAGGAAACATTTGTTTCCCAGGTCTCTCAGTGACACATGTGCCAGCACTGACTTTTTATACAAATCTATTTATTTCAACTTAATATTCTACTGCCAAAGCAGTTCCCGGAAAGGGTTCCCCGTGGGTGGTGGGAGAGGGAGTGAGTGCCAGGGGAGATGGCAAAGCCCTTTAGGGTGGACTGCACGCTGGCTGGCTGCTGTGGGCTCTGCTGAGTGTGGGGCCATTGGCTTTCAGACTGGGAGGCATTGGGTCCAGGTCGTGCACAGGGTGAGCTGTGGGGAGGCTGAAGCTGCTGTGCTAGAGGCTGTTGCACTGCTGGCTGGCCTGCCCTGCCTGCTCTGCCTGCCCTGCCAGGCTCCTCTGGCTCCCCCTGCCCTGGATTTGAGCAGGGGCTCTCCAGTGTCTCCCAGCAGGGTCCTGTTGGGCTGAACCATGCCTCAGCTGGAAACAGCTCCTGGCCCTGGGCAGGGGGACACTGCTGGCACACAGTCCCTGCTCACCTCTGTTCTGTGTGCCAGAGCAGCCAGGGAGGGCTCCCCTTCCCCGGAGCTCCCTGCACCCTGCTCCTGCTCTACAGTGGCCGCTAGGGAAGCAGAAAGGGCGGTGTCCGTGCCCGGAGGGCAGCGCGGGGTCACTCGCAGGGGTCCCCGCTCTGTGCCCGCCGTGCTGCCTCACGCTCGCTCAGCAGGTAGGTGTCGATGAACACGAAGAGCTCGTCGGGGCTGACCGGGGCGATGTAGCGCTCGCGGTCCGAGCCCGCCTTGTCCAGCAGCACGGCGTTGAAGTGCGAGCGTGTGAGGTGCAGGTAGCGCCTGCGGGTGCAAGGGGGTCGCTGCTCAGGGCTTGCACTGGGGGCTGAGCCTGCCCGCCCTCTGCAGCCACGCTCAGGTCCTCCTGCAGTGCGGGCTCCCACCTCCTGCTGGGGGCTGTGAGCTCTGGGAAGCTCTGGTGCCACTGCATTCAGACTTGCAGGGGTTCCCCCACTGCACGAGCCCCTCTGGTGCAGCAGAAAGGGGCTGTTCGTGAACCCAGCTGCCACCTCATGCTTTGCCATTGCTGGTGGCACTCCCGTTCCCCGTCCCCTGGAATAGCCACCTGGCTGTGCAGGACGGCCCCGCCTGCCCTACCTGAGCTCCTCGATGATGCCCAGGGACAGCCGGTGCTCCCGGATGCGTCCCACCTCGTGCGGGGGCTGCCCCAGCAGCTCCACGGTGGTGACATGCCGCAGGTCCAGCCCGCAGGCAGCTTGCTGCAGAGGGGGACAGTGAGGGGTGCTGGCCGTGCAGGTGGGGCAGGGGGCGGCAGGCAGCTCTGCTCACCTGCAGCATGGAGATCTGCATCTTGTAGAAGCGGTTCGAGGGGTCGGGGGCCGAGATGACCAAGAGGCGGCGCTTCTCGTGGAACTGATCCAGCAGGCTGGCGGCCGAGCTCACGTCCGTGTTGATCTGCATGGCTGGGGCACGACACCAGTGTGTGGGGAGGCGCCATCGTGCCCCCCGTCACCCCTCGGACCCACAGGGCAGCACCCCCCGAAGCTCTGGGCGAGTCCCGCCCTGCCCGCAGCACTTACGAGCACAGAGGGGCTGGGAGCCCGTCCAGTGCTGGCTGGACTGGCACACCCGCAGGGAGGTGCCCTGCCGCTCGAAGCCCCCGTCGCACAGGTACTCGCAGGTGGCGCCGTAGTTGTTGCCGTCGGAGGTGCAGGAGATGTACCCGTTCTGCGGGGGCTTCAGGACAGGGCAGCGCCTCACTGCAGAGGGAGAAGGTGCCTGAGGGCTGGGTGCCGGGTGCCCAGCAGCGAGGGCTGAGCAGGCTGCAGCTGGGGCGGCACCGGGGGCCCGCGGCCGCGCTCTCACCGTGGACGCGGATGCTGAACTTGCAGCTGGCGCGGTTGTAAGCCTGGTCGTGGGCGGTGTAGCGGATCACATGCTCTCCTTCGGGGAGCTCCGAGCCGGGCTCCGGGCCCCGCAGCATCACCCTGACCCACAGACGGGTTTGTGCATCGGCACCCCGGGCAGCGGCCCCGGCACGGCCCCCAGCCCCCGCTGGCAGTGCCTGCAGCGCCTCTGCCCTCACCTCTTGATGACACCGTCAGCAGAGTCCCTGACGCGGGGAGGGTCCCAGTACACGGTGGCAGTCAGCTTGCCCGGCTCTGCTATGCGCTCCCGGGAGTCTGGGCAGCGGATCTTGGGAGGCTCCAGATCTGCCAGAGGGAGAGAGGGATTCATGGAACCTGTGGGTGCCTTGGCTGAGCCGTGAGAGCGGTGTTGAACCACCCCGGGCACCTCGGAGCCACCCGGAGCTGCTGTAAAGCCAGCGCTGAGTGCCCAGTCCCGGGCTGGTGCCAGTGTTTCAGGGCTAATGGCACTGCGGGGACAGGGACAGGGGTCCCAAGGGAGGGAGGTGCAGGAAATGCCAGGGTTGGCTGTGGGGTGACACCTGCAGGTGCAGGAAATGCCAGGGTTGGCTGTGGGGTGACACCTGCAGACACCCCAGGCACGGGTGATGAGCCCCTGAGTGCCCCAGCAGCGCGGGGGGAGAATTTACCTAGACAGGGTGAGAATTTACTTACACAGGGCCAGAATTCACCTACACAGGGGGAGGATTCACCTACACAGGGCCAGAATTCACCTACACAGGGTGAGAATTCACCTACACAGGGCGAGAATTCACCTACACAGGGGGAGGATTTACCTACACAGACTGGCTCGCTGCCGCTCCAGCGCCCATCCTCCATGCAGATGCGGCTCCGGTCGCCCTCCAGCTGGTAGCCGGGCTGGCAGGTGTAGTCGCAGCGGGAATCCATCTGCACGCCCGCTGAGCACACGTAGGAGCCCCGTAGCACCGCGGGCAGCACGTGGCACCGGATTTCTGGGGTGGAGAGAGCAGAGAGGGGAGGGCAGCGGCTGCCGGCCGTGCGGGCGGGCAGAGCCCCCAGGGCTGGGTGCTGAGGGGGGCTGGCAGGGCAGGGCCGGGGGCACTCACGTCGGCAGTACGCCATCCCCGACCAGTGGCGGCTGGGCAGGCAGTGCACGGCGCTGGGACCCACCAGGCGGTAGCCGCGGGCGCAGCTCAGCTCGCAGCGTGTCCCCAGGCTGCTGCGGTAGGAGCTGCCCCGCGGCGAGTGGCAGGCGGCCTCTCCGCGGTGGATGGTGAGCGTGGCGCACCACTGGGGCACTGCGGGAGAGCAGGGGGCTGACGGAGGAATCTGCCGCGCCTCGGTTTCCCCACGAGGACACAGAGGATGGGTTGGGTGCTGTTACCTCGGCGGTAATCCAGGGCGGGCTCAGGCGGGGGTTCTTCCGCGTACACCTCGTTGGTGTGGCTCTCCAGGTAGTAGCCAGAGCCTGGCAGGAAAGAAGAGACGAGCGGGCTGCAGGGCAGCTCATGGCTGCGAAACCGAGGAGCAATCCCAGCCCTGGGCAGAGCCTGTCCTTGGGGCTGCTGTCAAGGGTTAAAGCGGGCAGAGGGGAGCCCAGCCCCGGTGGCACGGAGGGCCTGGCACCAGCCGCAGACTAAACAGCGGCAGCGGCAGCCGCGGTTGTGGCAGGAAACGGGCGCTGGCGCGGACTGGGCTGGCACCGACCCCCAGCTTCTGCTGCCGGGAAGCCCTTCCACCCCCTCCCATGGCACTGCACTGCCACGGGGCATCCCCAGGGAGGGAAGGGAGCTGCTCTGTCCTGCCCTTACCTGCCCTTTCCCGCCCGTCCCCTCACCCAGGAAAGGATGGCGAGCACGCTGCCCGGCTGGGGGCTGCTGGGGGTGCCCGTGCTCCAGGGAAGGATGGAGCTGCTGGAGGGGCTCGGCCGGAGATGCTGGCTCCTCTCCAGCCGTGCTGCCCCGCGGACGGGGTGAGAACGGCCCTGTGCCATCCTTGCGGGCCGCCCTGCGCCCTTCACGGGCACTGTGCTCGCCGTGGGGAGGGGGCCGTGCAGGGGGAGAGGCTGCGGCCCCTGGGCGCCTCGGCCGGCCGCGGCATTCCCCAGCACTGAGCTCACGTTTCCGCCGCGTTTCCGCCGGCCCCCGCCGGCGCTGCCCCCTCCTCGCCGCCCGCCCAGCGCACCGCGCTGCCCTGGGCACGGGGGATGCCTGGCCCGGGCACCCCCAACGGCGGCAGCCGCGCCCGCACCGTGTCCCCCTGTCCCTGGCCCGGGTTCCGGGAAGGGGGTGCCCGCCGGGAGCAGGAGCCCTCCCGTCACGGGGAGGAAACTCCATTACGGATCTTCCCAAAGTGAACTTCATTCACTGTGGAGCGGCTCGCCCCCGCTCCCCACGAGCCCCCCCGTTCCGCAGCGCGTTTATCCAGCTGCCCTCTCACGCTGCCACGGGCCCTCGGGGAGCAGAGGGGAGGGACGGCACCGTGGGGATGGATCCGTGACCTGGGGAACGAAGCTGTTTCCCGTGGGGCTGCCAAGACTCCGGCCGGGGCTCTGGGGACAGAGTGCAGAGTGTCCCCGCAGGCAGATGTGCCATTTAATGGTGATGTTCCTTCCCCTGCCAGTGCTGCCTTTTCCTCCTCACCTGGAGCCAGCTCAGCCCCGCTGCACGGGGCAGGAGCATCCCCAGGCGTGCTGGCAGCATGGCCAGGGGAGGGGATGGGAGGGAAAATCACCCCAAACAAAGCCCGTGACCCAGCCATGGGGCAGGGAGGGGAAATCACCCCAAACAAAGCCTGTGACCCAGCCATGGGGCAGGGAGGGGAAATCACCCCAAACAAAGCCCGTGACCCAGCCATGGGGCAGTCAGGAGTGTGGGCTCGGTCCAGCACACATCTGCGGCCCCGCGGGAGCAGGCAGTCAGCGGGAAGCTGCGGGCGGGGGTGTGAGGAAGGCAGGCTGGCTTTCTGCTCCTCCCTGGGTGCCTGCCAGCACCCCCTCCGTTCCTCCCTGTACCCACAGCTCACCCGCACAGCCACCCCATTCCTCAGGCACCGATGCTCTCCCGGCATCGCCGTTCCCGGGCTCCCTCCATCCCTTCCCACCAGGAGCCCTCAGCAGGGGCAGAAGGCGCACGCTGCCACCCCCAGGAGCCCGCGGTGCCCGCACAGCCCGCGCTCACCTTCGTGCCACGTGGATGACACCAGCCTGGCGAGGAGCAGCAGCAGCACGGGGGCTGCCATGCCGGGCTGGGCAGCCCTCCCGCCGTGCTGGGGCCGGGAGCAGCCGCGGGCCCTGGCGAGGATGGAGAGGAGCTGGAGGCAGGGGACGGCCCCCTCTGCCGCCTGATGTCTGTGGCTCCTGCCTGCCCGCTCCGCTTCTGCTGAGCAAACTTACTTTCCCCCTTGGCTGCCCATCCCAAACATTCAAAAGCCGTGAGTCAGGCCCAAAATGATGAGATTGTAAAAAATAATAAATCCCAGGATGGCCCGTTTTTCGACGCGCCTCCTGCTTCTCCGGGGCTTTAAAAAGTTGTAAGAGGCTTTCTTCTGCGAGCAGAAGAGCCAGGAGCCTGTTTGGACACAGGAGAGAGCCAAGCCCAGCCCGTGCCAGCCCTGACGGGCTCCGGGAACGCGGGGCCTGCAGGGGCGAGCACCAAACCGCAGGAGCCAGGTCCCCCTTCCCACCTCCTGCCAGAGGGAGGGAGGGAGGGAGGGAGGAGAGACCCCGCTGCAGACGGAAGGCTCCGAGCCCGCTGCCGAGAAAAGCGCTTCCAGCTGGGGTCTGTTCCCTGCCGCAGCCCGGCCCCCCGAGGCACGGGGACCGCAGCGCTTTGTCAGGGGCCAGGAGCCGGGGCCGGGGCCGGTGGGGTCGGGCAGGCAGGGCAGGAGCCGGGACAGGAGCCGGGGCAGGAGCCGGGGCAGGAGCCGGGGCAGGAGCCGGGGCCGGGGCCGGTGGGGTCGGGCAGGCAGGGCAGGAGCCGGGACAGGAGCCGGGCCCGGGCCTCCGCTGGGCAGGGAGAAGGGATGGGCTGGCACGGCCAGGTAGGAGCGCTCCGTGGGGTGTGCCGGGGGGGACGCGCTGCTGGCTCAATGGGCTAATTAATTATGTGTCGGCCAGGCTGGGAGAGCGCTAATTAATGACTGTCGCAGGCAGGAGAGGGCAGCCGGGAGGGGCTGCGGCTGCCGGGGTGGGGACCCCGCAGCCCGCCCCAGGCCGGGGACACCCCCGGGACACCCCCGGGACACCCCGGCAGGGCTCAGCCGGCGCTGTTGGCGTGCTGGCAGTGCCATGTGCCGGGCGCTGGGTGGCTGTCCCGCTGGACACCTGAACACGGGGTGGGGCACGGCAGGGCTGCAGCAGGAGAGCAGGGACTGGCGCTGGCTGGCACCGCGCAGGAGGTGGCACGGGACAGGCAGGGGGTGGCACCGGGGAGGCAGGGAACGATGGCATGGGTCGGGCAAGGGGTGGCACCGCGTGGCACGGGGCAGGCGGGAGGTGGCAGCGGGTGGCGCCAAGCAGGTAGGAGGTGGCATGAGGCAAGCAGGGGGTGACACCAGCAGGCGGTGGCACGGGGGAGGCAGTGGGTGGCACTGGAGAGAGGGTGACACGGGCTAAGCAGGGAGTGGCACTGGACAGGAGGTAGCAGGGATAGGTACGGGGTGGCACGGGCTAGACAGCAGATGATACCGGACAGGTCGTGACAGGGGACAGGCAGGAGGTGACACCAGACAAGGGGGTGTCACAGGACAGGGGATGGCTCCGGACAGGGGGTGACAACGGATAGGGAGTGTCACGGGACAGAGGGTGGCCCGGGACAGGCGGTGTCACAAGACAGGCGTGTCACAGGACAGGGGGTGACAGCAGACAGGGGGTCACAGTGGATAGGGGATGTTACAGGACAGGGGGTGACAGGAGACAGGGGTTGATAGGGGACAGGGGGGTCACAGGACAGGGGGTGACAGGGGACAGAGTGTCACAGGACAGGGGGTGACAGGGGACAGGGGGCGACAGGACAGGGGGTGACAGGGGACAGGGGGTGACAGGGGACAGGGGGTGTCACAGGACAGGGGGTGACAGGGGACAGGGGTTGATAGGGGACAGGGGGTGACAGGGGACAGGGGGTGACAGGGGACAGGGGGGTCACAGGACAGGGGGTGACAGGGGACAGAGTGTCACAGGACAGGGGGTGACAGGGGACAGGGGGCGACAGGACAGGGGGTGTCACAGGACAGGGGGTGTCGCAGGACACGAGGTGGCCCCTGGCAGGGCTGGCCGGGGCGCCCTCTGCGGGAGGAGTGGCGCAGAGCACGGTTCCGGCCGGCTCGCTCGGCCATTTCCGTGAGCGCTCGGGCTCCTCCGGCGGGGGGCGGGCCCGGCCCGCGCGGGGGGCGTGTCCGGGGCGTGTCCGGGGCGTGTCCGGGGCGTGTCGCGAGGCCCCGCCCCGCCCCGCCCGTCCCGCAGCCGCCCCGTGTCGGCCATGGCGTCCCCGTCGCGGCGGCTGCAGACCAAGCCGGTGATCACCTGCCTCAAGAGCGTCCTGCTCACCTACACCTTCGTCTTCTGGGTGAGCGCCCGCCCTTTCCCCCGCCGCACGCCGCGGCTGCGCCGCCCTGTCGCGACAGTCGCGAGCCACCGCGGCTTTCCCCTCTTCCCACCAGGTGTCGGGCATTGTGCTGCTGGCCGTGGGCATCTGGGGTAGGGTGAGCCTGGCCGTCTACTTCTCCCTGCTGGACGAGAAAGCCACCAATGTCCCGTTCGTGCTGGTGGGCGCTGGCACCGTCGTTGTCCTCCTGGGCACCTTCGGCTGCTTCGCCACCTGCCGCGGCAGCACCTGGATGCTCAAGCTGGTGGGTGGCCTGGGACAGGGCGGGATGGAGCCCCCTCCTCTCCTGATCCATCCCGACCCGTCCTGATCCATCCCGAAACACCCCATCCTATTCCTGTCTGGTCCCATCCCTGCCCTACCCCGTCCCATCCTGTCCTACCCCATCCTCTCCTCCTCCACTCCCCCTCCCGTCCCATCCCATCCTGTCCTGTCCCATCCTCTCCTCCTCCACTCTCCCCTCCCGTCCCATCCCGTCCTGTCCTCTCCCATCCTCTCCTCCTCCACTCTCCCCATCCTGTCCCATCCCATCCCATCCCGTCCCGTCGCGTCCCGTCCCATCCTCACCTCCTCCACTCTCCCCTCCTGTCCCATCCCCTCCTGTCCTGCCCCATCCCCTCCCGTCCCATCCTTTCTGCCCGCAGTATGCCATGCTCCTGTCCCTCATCTTCCTCATCGTCCTGGTGGCTGCCATCGTGGGGTTCGTCTTCAGGCACGAGGTGAGTCTGGGTGGCCACTGCCGTCTCCCAGTGCTGCAGAGTGAGTTTGATGATGCTTTTACCCCAGTGCAGTCGCAGATGTCACCGAGGGACAGAGGGGCTGCCTGGGAGCGGTGCTTAGTTTGGCAAAGATAGGGTTAAACCAGCGCAAAGAGCAGCTTGGTCCCTGTAAGGACCCAGAAGGAGCAGCCTGGGTGCAGGGTCAGTCCAGCACAGCACGTTGTCCCTCCATCAGAACAGGCAGAGTAGCCCTGGACTGTAATTTCTGGCTTTGGTCTATCTTCTGCAATAATTTCAGTAATTAAAGCTCCTGGGAGGGTTTCTGTGCCTGCTTGGGAGGGAGCTGGCACGGTGCAGCTCCTTGTTATTACAGACAGCATCCCTGCTGCCACAGTGCATCCAGCCTGCCCTCTAATACAGCCTCTAATTGCCTGTGCTGGGAAATGGCTGCTGGCCATGGCCAGAGTCACTGCTGCCATCCCCAGCGGTGACTAACGCAGGACAGGAGGGACAGCAGGGCAGGAGGGACAGCAGGGCCCTGACACCTCTGTCCTATAGATAAAGACCAGCTTTGAGAGCAACCTGGACCTGGCCTTGAAGAACTACAACGCGACTGCAGATCCACACAGCGAGGCTGTGGACACCATCCAGAGAACGGTGAGAGCCCCAGGTGGGGATGGCTGAGAGCCCCAGGTGGGGATGGGTGAGAGCCCAGGCTGGCAGCAGGTGGGGATGGGTGAGAGCCATCCCATTCCCAGGTGGGAATGCTGCCCTGGCCCAGGGTGTCCCCTCTGGCCTCTGTGGCCCCAGCATTCCCTCACAGGCTTTGGAATTTGGCAGATGCTGGGTGAGATGGGGGAGCCATGGCAGTGGTGGGGGAGCAGGGGTCAGTTCCCTGGTGTGACCAGGCTCCCCACATGTGCTTCCCACTCCAGCTGCACTGCTGTGGAGTGCAGAACTATTCTGACTGGGAGAGGACTGAGTACTTCAGCCAGAAGGGTATCCCCAGCAGCTGCTGCAAGAACCCGAACGACTGCTCGGAGGAAGATCTCAAAGACCCAAACAAGGCCCAGCTGAAAGTGTTTGTGAATGTAAGTTAAGCTCAGAAAAGCCTTCCTGCTGGCCCTAGAGGTGGGAAGGCCAGGGATGGGTGTGTGCAGGGGGGTTAGTTTGTTCCTGGCAGGCTGGGAAGGAGAACTGCCCTATTGATGCTGATGTTCAGTGGCCCAGGGGCTCCCCTGGAGTGGGTAAGGTTATGGAATCCTCCCTTCTGTCTGAGCTTGCCTCACTCCTTGCTTCAAGATCAGGGCCCAGCCAGACCCAAGCATGGGCCTTTGGGGATTTGTGTTTTGAAGAACAGGTGAGTAAGGAAGCAGCTTCCCAGTAAAGTTTGTTTCAGCAGTGCTGACATCTCCCTTGGGTGCAAAGTCCTGACCCGGTGCTGAGGGCCTGTGACCTCATCCACAGGGATGGTTGGGTGATGCAAAGGTTCCTCTGATGAGTCACCTGGCTCAGGCTGGGAGCAGCCCAAGGGCAGTGCTGCCCTTGGTAAGGCATCTGGGCTGGGACACTGGAAATGGCTTTGCTGGGGCCTGGCAGGAGGGGTCAGCCAGGACCCCCCTGCTGCCTGCAGGAGCATCTTCCCCTGGAGCTTTGGGGAGGAGCTGCTCTGTGCTCCTGGGGGTGCAAAGCACTGGATCCACGTGCTTGCTTGGCTTCCTCTGCAGGGTTGTTTTTTCCTGGTAACGTCAACAATGGAGTCCAAGATGAGCGTTGTGGCCGGAATCTCCTTTGGCATCGCTTGTTTCCAGGTAAATCTCCTTGTCTGGCTCGGGAGGAGGGCAGGGTGAAGCCAGCACGTCTCCAGAGGGATTTAATTTCAGTGCAAAGTCTGGTGTGTACAAAAGGCACAGTTGGTTTCAGTGAGGGAGGAGCAGCTACTCTGTGGATTCCCCTTGGATTCATTCTGACTGCTGTGCAGGCCCCAGTCTCTCACACCCAGGCCTGAAGCCCCAGCTCTGTTTCCTTGAGCCCAGGTTTATTTGGGAAGATCTTCTCTCTGAAAGAACAGGCTCCAAGCAAAAAACAAACGGAGATGGACGAACTCTGCGCCTGCTGTTGGCAGGGATCAGATCTGTGCCCTCCCTTTTCCTACCCACCCACACTGTTATCAGGAGGGTGCTTGGCATCGCTCCTCTCTGGTGGGGTTGTCGTGAGTGCTGGTGTGGCACCGCTTGTGCTGGTGGCTGACCACCCTCCCCTGCCCTATGTCCTCTGCTGCAATGTCTCCTTCACTTTATCGTGCAGGGCACTTCCAGCAGCAGCAGCATTAATGTGCTGGCCAGCCCCAGCTCCAGCTCCAGAGCTGTGTCCCGGCAGGAAGCGGGAGGCCCCTGCCCCCGGCCGGGGCTTTCCCGAGGTGCCGAGGGCTTTCCGACGCTGCAGGATGTGCAGCTGGCCCTCCTCCAGCTGCACTGGGCCAGAGTGCTGGGCTCTGGGGCTGAGCAGGCAGCCTTTGGAGGGGCTCACATTCTGCCTCCCCTTGACCCAGCACCCAGTGGCTGTGGTGTGAGCAGCAAGGTGCTGCTGGCTGGGACTGCAGGCTGGGGAGCAGGAACCTGTGAGATACTCAGCTGTCTGAGCTTGTCACTGTGTGTTTTCTGTACAGATGGACTGAACTGGGGAGTGGTACTGAGTGCTTTGGGAGAGCCTGAGAGCCGGAGCTGCTCCCCTGTGCCTGCTGCTCCCTGGCTGGGCTGGGCTGGCTCTGGGCTCACTGAGATGTGCCCCATACACCAGTGGTGACCTGCACACACACTCCCAGCTGCAGCATTATCTCAGCTGATGGCAGGCTTGGGCATTGCCACCAGTTCCTGGCTTTTATCGCCCCCTCGACAAGCTTGGCTGGGTCACACCTCAGCCAGGGAGCAGCCGTTGTGCTGATGTACCTCTAACCTGGCTTGTGGAGGTCAGAGTCATGCAGGATCTGGCCCTGGAGTCTGCACGGGTGCTGGGAGGCTGTGTTGTGATAACAGAGCACGTGTGATAGCAGTACCTTCCTGATGTGAGAGCAGCAGCCTTGCTTCCCCAGTGTCCTTGCAGCAGGGAGAGGTGCTGCCATTCTCCAGTGGCTGTGTAATTGGCTGTGACACTCCTGGTACCTGTGTAATCTCTGCAATTACCATAAAACAGTCAATGCTTCACGTAGCAACTTGTAATGGGATGGGACTTTGAGCATCTCTTGTGAGGAGCTTGTTTAGTTGGTGCCTCCAGGATCCTGTGCTTCAGCCACTTTCAGTGATTCTGAAGCAGGGTGCAGCAGCCCTTGCTGTGGTTTGTAAATCCCACTGTCCATCCTTGCATTTCATAAAACCCTGGATCAGTTTGTCAGGTTTTCTCCTGAAAACACCTCTCCCTGGTGTTGGCTGCCTCTGACATGCAGGGTTTGTTTTTTCTCTTTTTCAGTTGATTGGCATCATCCTGTCCTGCTGCCTGTCCCGGTACATCACCAACAATCAGTATGAGATGGTGTAGCTGGCCCCCAGCACTCTGTGCCTGTGCCTGGGTATGTCTGTAAGTCTAGGGGGCTGCCTCTGCCCCCCTGGCTGCTGCTGGTTACCCATGGGGTGGGGGTACCACATCTGGGGGGTTTAGGGTTAGAGGGTGCCTGCAAGACCAGGTCTGCTGTGTTGTTTTACCCTGTGCCATTTCAGCCTGTGTATAAATCCATATAAATCCATCCTGCCTGCTAACACTCTCTGTGTGCATTGCAGGGAATGCCTGGGGAGGATGCCTCCACCTCCAGTTTTCCTCTGGACGCCACGTCGTGAAATCTTGCTTTGAACTGACTGATCTTCTTCTCAACTAGCTCATAGAAAGGAGTGCAGCAGCTGTCCTGCTGCACTCAGGGACTTGTCCTGACACTACTCTGCTGTGCCACTGCCTGGGAGAATAACTGGTGTGGCTGTGGTGGCTGCAGCCCCCAGCTGCTGCCCCGAGTGCCACGCTGTGCTGAGCTGCCTGTGCCGGTTCAGCACAGCTCCCACGTGTCCCAGTGCTCATCTTCAGTGCCTCCACTGGGAAAGGGCTGCTTCCCCTTGCCTTGGGCAGCCCCTGGACATCCCCTCACTCTCCAGACACAGTTGTTCTTGAGACAGGGCTGTTAAACACAGTCCTGCCTGCCTGAAGCCTTGGCTCAGCAAGGTTGTTGCCAAGCTGCCTCCTCCCTCCCTGGGTTTTATATACTTTTTTATAGTTGTACTTCTTTAAGGATGGGCTGTAGTGGTTCTTTTAAGCTGTAGTGAGGTTTGGTGATGTAGCTCCTGGTGCCTTTACCTTGGTAGGTGTCCTTGCACCGATTCAGCTGTGACTTGATTGTCAGTATTATATGCTGCTTCAACTCATTTTATGTATTGAGTAGAATTCTTTTTGTCCTGAGACACAATAAATATTAAGATATTTTACTCTATGAAACCTCCTTGACTTTTCTTTTCATGTCCTGGAAATGCCTCTGCTTGAAGAGCAGCAAGTGCCCCCTGGGCTGATCTGCTCACTCTGGGCCAGCCAGGAACCTCTGGCCACTGCAGTTTGCATTCCTCCAATGTGCACTGGTGCACTTCTGCCTGCAAATAACTTCTGTAATTGAATTTTCTTCATAACAGTGGTTGTGTAACAGTGCTGGAGGAGAGGGCCTGGAGCACCCCAGCCCAGGAGCAGGGTGAGTAACTTCAGCCCAGTGTGAGCCATCCTTGGCCTGCTGGCAGCTGGCTTGGAGCAAAGGGCAGGGCAGTGCCAGGCCCCAGCTGCTCCCCAGGGCAAGAAATGTGCATTCAAGCTTTTAAATTAATTTGTTACTGCTCATTTTTGGGCTGTTTTGTCAGCAAGCCTCTGCCTTTGTGAGCCTGGTGCTGCAGTGAAGCACTCCTCTGCCAAGCTTGGGGGGTTTTTGGGTCTCGGGCACTGAACTCAAACGAGCTGTGTCTGCCTGTCCTGTTGCTAGGGAGGAGGCAGGTGTAACCAGAGCAGGGAAGCCCCCACCAGCAGTGGTGGCCCTTTGTCAGTGTCACCCCTCTGGCCAAAGCTGCCTGGGTGCTGGGTGAGCTGCCCCAACAATGCCCTGGTGTGGGCCAGCCTGGCTGCTGAGGGAGGGAAACGCCCCAAACCCTCGTGTTCATTTATCCCAGGTGAGTAAATCAGGCTGTTGTCAGCTCCTGGCTGGCTGAGAGCCTCCTGGCTCGGGATGGGGAGGCAGAATGTGTCAGAGCTGGGCTGGAGACTGGCTAAGGGCAGTGAATGCATGGATGGAGACAGGGCAGGGACACACGAGAGACAGGAATGGGTTTGGATAAACCCATTGTCATCTTCAACCCTGCCCAGAGGGAAGGACCCTGCCCTGCTCTGTGCCCCTGCAGGCAGATTCCTCCTGGGGCACCCAGTGATGCCAGGTGAACGGGGATGGTTCTGGCAGGGCTGGCCCAGGGAGCCCAGAGGTTTCCAAGGAGCTGCAGGAAAACCAGCAAGGGTTGTGGAGGCTGGTGCAAGCCCACTCATCCCCACAGGCAGTAGAAGCGCTGCAGCCATCAGGGGGTGTGGATCTTACCTGGTTAAATAGCACTGCTATAGACAACTCACTTGAATTTGGAGAGGTGTTCTGGATGTCCTGGCAAAGGCATGGGGTGCACCCTGGTCACCTGCCTGGACACTGAGCAGGGACAGAAGCCTTGCTGGCAGCAGCTGTGGCTGGGTGTGTCCTCGGTTCCTCAGGGAGCTCCTTGTGCCAGCTCCCTGTGCCTGTGCTGCCACAGCTGCAGCGGGGACTGGTGGCACCCCTGAGCTGTCAGCAGCTGAACTGAGCACATGGGAGCACGCTGGAACGGGAGGTCAGGCCATGCTGAGCAGCCCCCAGCAGCAGCAGGGCGCTCCGCAGGCTGCAGCGCCCGCACTGAGCTGTGGGTGCTCCTGGAGGCAGCCGCGCACTCAGATCCCTTCGCAGACCCCTTGAGCATCAGACTGAGACTGAACGACTTTCCATTGTCTTTGCAATCGCTCATACAGGACCTTTATTGTTTGCCTCTTGCTGCTCAGCCTGGCTCCCGCAGCCCCGCGGGGGCAGCGCAGCGTGCGGGGTCACAGCCCGGGCGGTGCCGCGGCCGGCGGGGATCACCGGGCAGTGCCCGGGCAGGGCTGGGATCACCGGGCAGTGCCCGGGTAGGGCTGGGATCACCGGGCACCGGCCGGGCAGGGTGCGGGATCACCGGGCACCGGCCGGGCAGGGTGCGGGATCACCGGGCAGTGCCCGGGCAGGGTGCGGGATCACCGGGCACCGGCCGGGCAGGGCTGGGAGCTCACCGGGCACTGCCCAGGCAGGGTGCGGGATCACCGGGCACTGCCCAGGCAGGGCTGGGAGCTCACCGGGCACTGCCCAGGCAGGGTGTGGGATCACCGGCCGGGCCGTGCCCCGCAGCGCTGCCGGTGTGCCAGCGGGCTCCTGGAGGCTGGCAGCGGGCACGGCCCCGCTACACCCTGCCCAGCATCCGCGCGATCCACCAGTTGCAGGGCATGATGACGCGGCAGATGACCCTGCCGCCCTGGTAGCAGTACGGGTAGGGGTAGTAGCCCAGCAGCGGCTCGCACACCCGCCGGCAGTAGCGGTGGGCACGGCGGCACTGGGCACAGCAGTAGCCCCGCTCATCCCACAGAGGGTGGAACTCCAGCCCGTTCTCCGACTGCCGGCAAGAGGTGCAGTCAGAGGGGGCTGCGTGGCTGAGGCACCCGGGCAACCTTTCCAATCACCTGGGCACCCCAGGGCAGGGGCAGGGCTCCCCGGGGACGTGGGGACACCCCCAGGGCATGCACAGGGCATCATCATCCCAAGGAGCACAGCCGGGGGGGCACTCCTGACCATGGCCAGGACGGTGGGCAGGGCAGCCCAGGGTGGGTCCCTCACTCAGGCAGGGCAGCCCAGGGTGGGGGTCCCTCACTCAGGCAGGGCAGCCCAGGGTGGGGGTCCCTCACTCAGGCAGGCAGCCCAGGGTGGGTTTCTCTCCCTCAGGCAGGCAGCCCAGGGTGGGTTTCTCTCACTCACGTAGTCATTGACAGGCAGCTCCTCCTCGGTGAGCTGCCGTGCCCGACGCTTGGGCCCTGCCTGTGTGTCCTCCTCCAGCTCGTGTTCCTTCTCCCCGTCCAGCCAGCTCTGGCTGTCCATCTGCAGCTCAGGCTCTTCTTCTTCTGCCCCTTCAAGGTTGGCCAGCTCAGGAGCTACAGGGAGAGTCCAAATGTCACTGCCAATAACCACGGAACAGGGCACAAATGCAGCAGCAAGAATTAATGTCTCTACCAGAGTTTGGTGCCAGGATACACGAAAAGCCCACTGCAAGCCAGTGCTCCACTGCCTCCTGCTCTCACCCAGCCTGGGGCAGGGCTGAGGGAGACAATGGCCCATTCCATCCCCATGCCCATGGGTGGGTGCTGTTGGCATCTCCTGCATGGGGCTGTGGGTGTGCAGAAGCACATCCTCCTGCTGGGCTCTGCTGCTGGGGGGTGGATTTGTAGAGCCCCATCAGAGCAACATGATTTGGGGCAGATTATGCTCAGTTTCAGCTCTCTTAGCTTAGGAAAGAACCACAGCAGCAATAGTTTCCTTTGCTAGGGAAGGTGCCATACAAGCCTTGGGACACTGCTGTCCTGGCAAAGGCTTTGGATGCACCTTGGTGGCCCAGCTGGACCCACTGAGCCAGGACACTGCTGCAGGTGGGTCCAAAAGCCGGGACAAGGAAGCAGAAAGGGGACAGCAGTCAGGGACACCAGCCTCCCTCTGCACCAGGGAGCTCTGGTGCCCACCTGCCCTCCAGAGCACAGGTGAGCTGGCCAGTACCTGTGAGCAATGCCATGTGCCTCTGTGGCTGCAGAGCAGAGGGAGTTTGCTCAGCAGGGATTTTTAAACTGCCTCATTCGGCTGGAAGTGGGTTAGAGAGAGCAGGTAATTACAGCAGCACATCTCAGAGGCCACAACCTCTGCAAGGGCTGTGCAGTGAGCAGCTGGAGGTGGCAACCCCGCCGTGTGATTTAGATGCAGATGTCTGCTCACACTCTGATGTTCATGTGGTGTCGAGGATTTAGGCGTCCCAGTTTCCAGCAGCGCTGCTTTCTTTGCAGGTACAAGGGATTATTTTTTTTTTTTCTCCCTTGTTATGAGGAGGGTGGCCACTCTGCAAAGTGCAGGGCGGCGGGGAGCTGACAGAAACAAGTGCTTTGTAGGGAGAATCCTCAGCCCCTGCTATTACATTGGCCAGGATCTCCTGTGGTCATGGGCAACACGGTGTTCATGCCTGAGATGTACACGAGGCTGTGAAAGTGGGCTCCCAGCATGGCACAGGGGGGACAAGGCAGGGGCCACAGGCAGGGCTGTTCCCAGTGAGAGGAGGGCTCATGAGCCCCTTGGGGAGGAGATGGCTCCTTGTACCTGCTATTGGCGTGGGGTGGATCCAGAAGATGGTCACGTTTTTGCAGATGTCAAAAATTTTGGAGCTCCTCAGGAATTCCTTGTTCTGAATGGGCTTTTCCCCAGGCACCCAGACCACAGACTGCTCAAAGTAGGTGGTGGTGATTTCTTGTCCCTGGAAGAAGAGGAAGACATTACCCTGGCGTGGTGAGACACCCTGCTCCCGGCACTGGCTGCTTCTCCTCCCCTTGGCTTAGAGGCACCTCTGCCCTCCCAGAGAGCAGCTGGACTCCACCTTGGCTCGTGGTGTTCATGGGATGCACACACAATACCCCAACAGCCCTTACCACCCTGCTCTCCTCTCTCTTAGTTCATCACCCAAGACCCTTTTCCTGCCCAGTCCCCACTATCTGGAAGAGCCTTCTGGAGCCCCCCAAGTCATTTAAAACCCAAGTTTAAACCACCTCTGCTCTACTTCGCTCCTAGGATTTAATTCCTCTCTCCTTCTGCTGCTGATTTTTTGATCGAACACTTTAATTTACTCCTCACAGAAATTCTTTGCACGGCTGTGTTCAGTAATTTATACCACATGTCTCTGCCGTTGCATTAGTCCATGGTGTGTTTTGGCAGGCACTTAGGGAGGGAGATATATAAAGATTATGGGATGGGTCTGCGCTGAGCTCTCTGCCAAGGCAACATTGTCTGTGTTGGTGGTGGTAGCCCATAGAGCAAGCTGGCAAAAAGTGTTTTTCTCTCCAGAAGGCATCCAGAGCTGTATATCTCTTTTATAGAGTTTTTCCTTACGGCTTTGGGAAGTCACAGGATGGAGCCAACACAACCCGACCCAGACTGGGTCATTTTTGGAGTCTCTGGTGGAAGCTGCAGGGTCGGGGAGGTGCTGCCTGCAGGACCTGGCAGCGTGCAGGCTCCAAGAAGACATGACTGGAGCTTAAATCTACATTTATCTCACTGGCTTTTACATCTCAGCTCTCTACCCGGGGCAATGTTCTGCTGAAGCCTGGGAAGTTATATCCCTTTTACGACGGTAGCTGGAAAGATCTATTAGCTTCTTAGGGCATAATCAAAGAATCGGTGTCTGGGAATTTGGGTCATGATTCAGGGAAATGTTTCTGCCCACGCTTCATTTCAAACACGTGTCCTGCTGGCGTTTTATCTGCAGCAGCTTCCCTGGGGGGGATTCAATCTGCCAACACCCCTCCTCTTGCAAATGGGGAGGCAGGAGGGCTGTGCCCTGTGACACCACCAGGACCTGGGGATGGGGACAGGGACAAAGGACCACTGCTGTCACTGCGGGTCACACTGTCAGGGACGGGGTCAGTCATGGAGGCCACGCTCTTTTCCATGCAGCATGCAAGGCTCCTTGCAGCAGGATGCAGGGCAGTTAAACGGGTGCAGGAAGCAATCAGGCACACCAGTGGGATGAAGGTCCATGTGGGACAAGGAAGTGGCCCCAGCCTGGTGTTTCCTATCTCTCAGGTCTGCATGCCAAGGGTGTTCTCAATTTGCATTTCTTAAACGTGGCTGCTCTTTTAAATCCCTTATTTCTGCCTCATTCTGTTTGAAAACACGAGGCTCAAATCCTGGAGAAAACAATTGATTGACTTTTTGGTGCCTGCTAATCCTGAGCTGCCTTACGACCTTTTGACTACAACAGGATTATTGTTCTTGATCTCTGGTATTGTGCTGAGAGGCTTTTGTCTGTTGCTTTCTAATCCCGTCTCTTTTCACTTGTTTTCATAAGCAATCCTCTGAAATAAGATCAGTTTATGAAGCGATCACAACTCATTATTTCTTTATTGCACATCTCTGGGAAGGCTGGAGCAGATGGGAAGGCGGCAGGAATGGCAGCCCCTATGCCAGGGAGAGCAGTGGGTTTCACAGGGCAGAGGGGGGCCCTGCTCTATTCACCTACCTCAAGCTCAGGGATCTTGGCCTCTGTCGTCTCAGGCAGGACTTTGGTCTGACTTTTGATGAAACATTTTTGAAGTCCCACAAAGAAGATGCCAGTTATTCCCTACAGGATCAAAGCAAACACCCAAAAAGCAGTCAGGGCAGAGAGTAGGATGAATAACCCATTGGAGGCAGGGTACAGCTGGACGAGGAAGGTTCAGTCATATTTTTCCTGTTGCTATTTTTGTGCCAGTTCCGTTCAGCAGCGGTGCTAACACGTACTAACAGGTTCTCATAAGGGATATTGCATTTTATGGTTTGGGAGAACTGGGCTTTTTACAAATATTTTAAGGCAGGTAGTCATAAAATTTTACTCTGCTCCTCTTCTCCTGATAACTATCACGAGCTCTCATTATAATAAATAAAAATATGCAGAATAGCATCTGACCGTTATGGTTATATGAACATTCAGCCCCCAGTTCCTGCTAGGTTATTAGCTCAAACTTTTGCCATATGTCACTGCACAGGGTATTTCCCTACAAATTTTAATTAGGTTTCATAGAGAGCCTTCTTCAGTGTCATGAGGTTTTAATGCTCTCCAGACAGACAAATGCACTGGGCTCAGATAGACTGATGATCATTGCCTTCCTTTGCAAGGGTAAATCCAATAGCTAGCTCTGGCTTCCAAGATGTATTTCATTGGAACTCAACCACGCCACTATTAAATACAGGTGGAAGCTCATGTAGATAGCACATCTCCTTTCCTTTGAGAGCATCCCCAGCGTGTCTGGGTCTTGCTCTCCCTGATGCAGGAATAAATAGTCCTGGGACTTGCTCTGGGGGCTTCACAGTGTCCTGCAGGGCCCATCAGTCCTTCTGCAGGACACATCAGTCCTTCTGCAGGACTGCAGGGTCTCAGGGACAAGCTGCCACACTCACGTTTTTGAAGTCATGGATCTCCAGGATCTCCTCGCTGCCATTCCCGCTGCTGAAGGTCTCTGTCCTGGCCAGGGGGTCAATCTCCATCACAATCTTCTTCTTCTCACCATTGCTGAAGAACGTGTGCTCCATGTCATAAACCTGGGAGGCCACAGTCACACAGGGGTCAGCTCACACCCTCTGGTTTCAGAGGCTGTCCAGTGGGTGGACAGGCTGTGCTGGGTGTGTGACCAGCACTGCTGGGGACCTTGCCATGGCTCTGGCTGCTCCCTCAAGCCCAGCTGTGAGCCAGAGCAATCACCAGGACAGCCCGAGGGGAGGCAGGAGCCTGGACTGGGTGAAAGGGCAGCTGCAGCCAGGGTGAGGGGTAATGTTTGTCAAGCCTGGGACGTGTGTCAAACCTGGGAGAAGATGCTCCTCACACACCTGCAGCTGGAGCTTTGCCCCAGCTCAGCCTTTGCTGGTGCTTTCTGTGGCCTGAGCCTGGTTACAGCCCAGGCTGGACTGAATTCCTGAATCCACAGGTACTTTACTCTCCTTCTGCCTCATCTGCTTGTTGCCCACTGCATCCCTGGCTGCTCTGCTCCATCACGGTGTCCCCGGCTCACCTGCTGCACCGTGTCCTCCCCAGCTTACTCGCTCCATCTCTGCGCCCTCTGTTTCTCCCCAAAGGCAGAGGGAAGAGCCTCTCTCTGCCTGGAGGAGATCAAGGATTGCCTGCGGATCAAAGACCTCCTGGAGGGCTGCTGCAGAGCTCCGGGGCGTTAGCAGCCGCTTCCCGGAGGGCCCATCCCCGGGGCGCGGCGCCGGCAGCGGCAGCGGCAGCAGCAGCATCAGTGCTCTCCCTCTCCCGCTCGCACTCGGCAGCCCTCGGTCCCTGCGGATGCCTGACCCTTCCTGGGTGAGTAGTGGCAGATGCTCTTTGAAGCACAAAAACGATCCTGCTGGCCCTGGGGAGCCTCCTTTCCCAGATCGAACGGGGCCGCGTGGAAGTAAAAGGGATTCTGCAAATCCCCTCAAGCCAGCGGGGCAGGGAGCAGAGATGGAGGCACAGCGATGGGAGAGCCCTGCTCATCCCACAGCATGGCCATGAACCAGGGCAGGAGATGGAGCAGAGATGGAAGCACAGCGATGGGAGAGCCCTGTTCAGCCCATGGCATGGCCATGAACCAGGGCAGGAGATGGAGCAGAGATGGAGACACAGCGATGGGAGAGCCCTGCTCATCCCACAGCATGGCCATGAACCAGGGCAGGAGATGGAGCAGAGATGGAGACACAGAGATGGGAGAGCCCTGTTCAGCCCACGGCATGGCCATGGAGCAGAGATGGAGCAGAGATGGAGACATAGCGATGGGAGAGCCCTGTTCAGCCCATGGCATGGCCATGGAGCAGATATGGAGGCACAGCAATGGGAGAGCCCTGTTTATCCCATGGCATGGCCATGAGCCAGGGCAGGAGATGGAGCAGAGATGGAGGCACAGCGATGGGAGAGCCCTGCTCATCCCATGGCATGGCCACGAGCCAGGGCAGGAGCATGTTGGCCCCACTGGTGAAGGGCAGGAGCTCTGCCCTTAGTGCCAGCCCAAACCCCCATTCACAGTCCCCTGGTTGCTGCACATCCCTCCCCTCGGGGGTTCAGAGCCTCTCAGCAGTGCTCCCAGCATTGGTATCCCCTGCTTGGCACCCAACTGGGTGCAGAACTGCCTGTGCAGATGGGAACTGATAGGAACATTCACCCCTGCTCAAAGGTTAGAGGAGTGATGTGTGCCTTGGCAGCCATGGACATCTCCTGATAGTCTGCAGGAAGACTTTGTAAAGATATACAGCTCTCCATGGATTTCATGATATGGTAAAACAGTCTGAAGCCTAAAATGGGTGGAAGGCCACTGGTTTTGACTGACAAAATGCACACAGTGCCATAAATCATTTCAAGGAGGGCAGGATCCCAGGTGGCACCTTACCTTCAAGTGCCTCTCCATTTACAGAGAATGACTTTGGCCAGCACAGCAGCCAGCTAACCCACTTGGGCTTTGCCAGCTCTGTGCTGCTCAGAGAGCTATGAGATGTTTTATAGGGCTAAAAATGACACTTGCTGGGGAATGGTTGAAATATGTCCCTCTGCAAGGCTGTGATGAGCCCCTCGTTAGCTGAATCATCAGCTGTGCTGGCTGGCGAGGAGGCTGCTGTGCAGAGGGCAGAGCCGTGTCCAAGGCCACCCCTCAGAGGAACAACTCTTCTTTCAAGTTTTTTTTCCACTCTCCAGTTACACGAAGGAAGCTTGAAGGGTTTCATGTTCTTTAAAGAGTTTAATTCCCCTTGGCTGATATTTTTGAGCGTTACTAACTTCCAGCCCCCTCCAGCCTGTTTGTCCTGAGGATTCCTGGGCCAGCTGGAGAAGCCACAGGGATGGGGCAGTGCTGGGCTCTGGGAGTGTCTGGGTGCATCTCTGCTGCAGGAGCAGCTCTGCTTTCTCCTGGCCTCACACCCTGCTTGCCTGCCCATCAGGTGTTGGGGAGTGCTGCATGGACTCCATCCTCCACCAGTGAGGACACCAAGGGCTCTGGTTGTCCCTCCTGAAGCTGTGCATTGTCTCTGCACTGTCTTCTTGGAGAAAACTGCCCCTCCAGGGGTTAACAGCCTCTTCCTCTCATGGCTGGCATGACCCCTGTTTTTCTAGGAACAGTAGAGACTTTATAATCGTCTTGGCAGGATTCTGGAGGAACATATGGCTTTTATTGTTTTTCCTTTTATTTCAGGGGGTATTTATTTCTATTTGCTGATAAGAAGATAAAGTTTCCAGTGAGCAGGGTGCTTCCTCTGCCCGGCAGGAGGGCGGCCTGGCCGGCTGGAGCGGCTCCAGGACAGTGCAGGGAGCAGACTGGAGATGCCAGCGTGGGAAAGAGGCTGCCTTGGCTGTGCACAGGAATTTGGAGATGCTCTTGAGAGCCAGCAAACCCCACTGGTGATGGGGTGCAAAGCGGGGCCTCCTGGATGAGCATGGAAATTCGAAGGAAGGGAGGACGAGGGGCAGCAGGCAGGCTGTGGGTTTCAAGGTTAAACGATGCCCTGGGGGTGTGAGATAAAAGGGTTTTGGCAGCAGTGTCAGGACGCTGGGCAGCAGCGGGCAGAGACGGCTGGGGAGGCACAGCCCCGCTGCCGCCCCGACACGGCACTCACAGCAGTGCTGGGCTGCAGCTGGGAATAAAGGAGCCCAATCCTGTTAGCACAGGCTCCTGCAGAAGCTAATCCGTCTCACCGTCCCTCACATTGCAGACACATTAAAGTAAGAAATATAATCCATGACAATCAATCACCGCTGCGTCCTGGCTTTCTCTCCTCTTTATGCGGTGGCATAATGACTTTTCCACCAGTTTCTGGCAAGATAATTGAAATGAAATGGAAAATATTTTCTTACTTGTCATAAAATTTGCTGCTGGTGAAATAAGAGAAACTTTAACTCTTCATGGTGTAGCTCCCATCCCCTGTAATTGTCAACTGGGGAAAGAGTGCGGTGACGGGGGAGAAAACCAGCCTGCATAAAGCAAAAGCTAGTTATGAATAATACAAAGATTTTTAAAAGTCCCAGGAGTACCTGTGGTCTGAGAAAATGCATCTTGTGAAGTTGCCTGGGTTTTGGGGAGTTGTTAAAAGTTTCAGCGAGTCAAGGGGAGAGGGACAGCTCTGTCTGGGGAAGCAGCGCTCTGAAATGCCGGATCAAAGAGTTTTTACTTACTTTTCTGGGTGCCGGGTTCCAGAGGTATCTGACACCAAAAAATATCAGGATAAGGGAAAGGAGCAGCAGGCTGAAGAGCAGTCCGCAGAGCTGGTACCTGGGGCAGCCCTTCTCCCGCGGCTTGGCTGCTTCTGCCTGGTGAAGGAGAAAGCGGCGATGGCCGGGCTGTGCCGAGGGTCCCAGCAGGAGGGGACAGCACAGCTCGGACCCTGCTGGCCCCGCGGGGATCGGGGGGCAGGCCAGCCGTGAACTCACGTCCAGAAAGCGGCAGCGCTCCGGGCTGCGCCCCGCCGTCCCTCCCATGGTCTGTGCGCTCCGTGTGCGAGCAGCCAGCCCGCTCCGAGGTGGAGTCACCGAGCTCGGGCTGCACACGCGGGGGGAAGGCAGGGCCACGGCCACCCCCTCGCAGGGACAGCGCTGTCCCCAGCGCTGCTGGCCCCACGGTGTGATGGCTGTCACACGGCCAGGGCCACGCTTCTCTCTGATCGGTGCTTCTGCTCCAGCTCGGGCCCTTGTGCCAATGGCTGGACATGCCCACACTGCAGGTGCCCCATGAGCCTGGGGACAGGGACACTGCTGCACTGTCCTTGAGGGCGTGGGAACAGCCTGGGAGCTGCCAGTGGGGTCCCTGCATGGCAGGGGGACACGGGCATGGCAGGGGACATGGGATGGCAGGGGACATGGGTATGGCAGGGTACATGGGATGGCAGGGTACATGGGATGGCAGGGGACACAGCATGGCAGGGGACACGGCATGGCAGGGGACATGGGTATGGCAGGGGACATGGGTATGGCAGGGTACATGGGATGGCAGGGGACACAGCATGGCAGGGGACATGGGATGGCAGGGGACATGGGATGGCAGGGGGACATGGGCATGGCAGGGGACACGGGATGGCAGGGGACACGGGATGGCAGGGGACATGGGCATGGCAGGGGACATGGGTATGGCAGGGTACATGGGATGGCAGGGGACACAGCATGGCAGGGGACATGGGATGGCAGGGGGACATGGGCATGGCAGGGGACATGGGATGGCAGGGGACACAGAAATAGCAGGGGGACATGGGGCAGAGGACACAGCATGGCAGGGGCACGGCATGGCAGGGGGACATGGGCATGGCAGGGGGACATGGGATGGCAGGGGACATGGGATGGCAGGGGGACGTGGGTATGGCAGGGGACACAGGGGACACAGAAATAGCAGGGGACACAGACATGGCAGGGGGACATGGGCATGGCAGGGGACACAGACATGGCAGGGGACAGTGTGACACACAGATGTGTGTGTGTGTAATACGTGCTGCCAGGTGAGCAGGCTGTGCCTGGCCATGCAATGTGCCCATGTCTGCCATGTGTGCAGCTGTGTGTGGGGTGAGGCCTCAGCTCCCTCTCGTGCACAGCCCTACCCCAGTGTTGGCCTAGCCAGGAATTTCCTGACTAATTTTTTTTTTTCTTTTTTCTATGTTCAAAAATTTCCATTTGTTGAAATTGTAGCGTTCCTTCATGGAAATGAACCCATCTTAAGAAAGGCTTTCAGAAATCCAGCGTGAGGTTTCTGGTCTGAACAGGATGAGGCTCCCTGGTGTAGAAGAGCTGGCATGGACTTTTTTTCCAAGCTGTTTACTCTAATAAAAACCCAAAGTGCATCATGCACTAATTAAAATTGCACTGAAAAAAGAAAATCCACATCGAATTTTGCTCAGGATGAGAAATGGAGAAAGAAATTGCTTTTAGCAGGTCTGGCACTGGCTTTGTGAGCATTGGGATGTTGCTGCCTGCAACCAGGGGTAAATCCTGGAGGGACAGGAGCGGAGATTCTGAATAGCCTGGGGAGAGCACTGTGCACATGTGTGTGCTGGGGGTGTGCCCTGGTGTGTATCTGCTCCCTGCAAAGGGGTTTGGGCTCCCTGGCCCCAGAGCAGCAGGAGCTCCTCACCCCACAGCCCCTCAGCAGTGCAGGGGTGTAAAACACACTGGGGGGGGGTTAATAATTGAGGTGGCTGTAAGAGAAGGGAATTGTACTGACAAGGTTATTTGGAGGAGAAAAAAAAACCCCTTTTTAATGGAAAGCAATCACAGGCAGCCTTTGAAAACATCTGAGGGGTTCTGGAAATCTAAATGCAGCAAATCTGTGCAGACACCAGGCTTGTCTGTCTCCACTTCCCACCAGAAAGTTCCATCTCGGAAGCTTTTGTTATTCACTGGAAACTCAAGTATTTGAAAACATTTTCTTTTCTTGTCAAAATTAGAGTTTCAGAGGAAAACTTTGGAGCAGCTCTACTGAAAGATGGTTCTGATTACAGGAAAGAATTACAGCAGTGCTGCTTAGCAGACATAATTGATCAGCAGATCTTCACCATATCCCCCACTCAAGGCACAGGAAACACTGCAAATACCACTCATAAACCAAATTAGGCATTATTATTTTATTACTGTTGTAAGGTAAATGTCAAGCCTTTTAATGGCAATCACTGTAACTCCATCAGGAGTCGGGTGTCTGAATTAGCTGCAAGAGGTGAGGAGCCCCCAGGGCTGGGAGTTAATAAAACTCAATAAATATCACAGGCCCCTTGCAGCACTGGCAGTGCTGGGGATGGCTGGCCCCAGGAGGGCAGGGAGCAGGATCAGAGCCCTCCACACTGCTGCTCTGCACACTGAGTGTTCTGAATATCCAGCCTTGCTCTGGGGCTTTGAGAGCAGCAAACCCCTGTGCAAGCCCTGGTGTCCCCCATCTGCACCTGTGGCTGTGCTCCAGCCACTGGATCCTGACAAGGAGACACATGGCTGGGATGCAGAGAGGGGCAGAAACTGCAGGATGACACTTGTGAAATGTTGGGTTTTTTTCCCATTCCCTAATGCTCTGGCTCAGGCTTCAGAGTTTCAGAGAGGAAAAAAATAAAAAAAAAAGTATTTTTTATGAAAAGACAATAATTTTGGGGAAAAACCTCTTAGTGTCCTTAGGATGACAAGCAGGTCCTCTGTATAAAAAGCAGTTCTGATGAAAATCTCCCATCAATGCCAATGGAGAGGGAACAATTACTAATTTTCCATGAAGCTAATGAGAGCGAGTGTATATGACAGGGGAGAATTTAATCTGATGTGAACTGAGGAAGAGAAGCAATACTGATATTAATGTGTGACTAATTGATACCCAGAAGAACATTTGAAATGATTAAAAGGCATTTGATTTTTATTCAGGACAATAAGAGGCTCATTGGCTATGACTGGTGCATCCTTTCAGTTTTCTACTGCGTGTTCCAATTTGCCCAGAAAAATCTATCATATCTGCAGTGTAGCTTGACTGCCGCATAAAATCTCTGTGCCTGGAAATGTTACACCAAGAAATTCCTCCTGGACAGCACAAAGGATTGTACACGCTGTGAGCAGGGGTGAGCAGCCTGGCAGAAATAAAACAGGTCCCCAAACCACTAAAAAGCAGCTCCTCAAAGCAGTGGGGCTTGGGCAGCAGCCTCCAGCTGAAAGCCCCTCGTGATTAATATCGTGCTCTTTGTTATAATGAAAAACCCATTAAGGTCAGTGGCAGCATCTCTGAGCAGCACTAAATTGGAACGATGGAGACAGTAAAGTTAAAAATGAGCCATAATATTAATGTGGATAGTGAATTAATTGGGCAATTCCATAGGTAGTAAGTAAATCATATCATTTGCTGTGGCACGTGGTGCCAGGCAGCTCTCAGCGCTGGCAGTGGTGACACCTGCTCCTGGATGGGGCCAGAGGGGCAGCACAGAGCCCCAGGGACCCTCTGTGCCCCCCTCCACAGCAGCCCTTGGCCTTGTCTGCCACTGGCAGATCTCTCAGTAGGGAAAATGCTCTTGCTTTGCTCTTTTTGGTGCTTCAGCCCCAAAATGATGAATGCTGGCTGGCTGCATGGCTGAAGAGCTGCAGCCCTGCTCCAAGGTGCTTTTCCCTCCATCCTCAGCTGTGCTCTCTGTATCCCTTTGCTTTGGGAATGGCTGCTCCTCTCTTTGGGTGGGTCTTTCAGGAAAGGCTTCCTTAGCCCAGAGGAGGTGCAGGACCACCAGACAGCCCTCGACAGTCTGCTGCTGCTTTTGTGCCTTGTGCTGGGATGCATGTAGGGCCGAGGGCAGGGATTTGTACCAAGGTGCAGCATTGGCAGCACATGGCTCAGGCTGAGGGCTCCCTCTCCACTTCCAGCATTATGGGCAGCAAACAGAGAAAGGGAAGAATCACATATAAAAGAAAGGTGCTCATTAGCCAGCGCCTGATTACCCAGGACTGTCTTCGCTTCAAACTGTCCAATTTTCGGTAACATTTGCCAGATGAGAGGACGTGTGCCTCCTCTTATCAGCCAGCCTCAGCCGAGGGTTTCAGTGAGGGAGGCTTCAGTAATTGGCCTATTCATCATTCATTGTTTATCTTAAGTTCACATTGTCGTAGGGAACTCCAGAGACATCCTTGATTCAAGTTAAGAAACTTAATCATGATGATAAAACTGCTCAGGGAGCTGGAGTTCATGTCGGAGGCGCACGTGCCTCCATGTGGCACTCCAGCAGCTGCTACTCACAGCAAATTACTCAAAACTGACAAAGCTTTGGGAGAGAGCAGAAAAAGATGAATTCGTGGTGGCCGTTGTGACGGAGGCGCCCAGAAAGTTATTACAGCAGGCACACGCTTGCCTTGCTCACAGCCCATGAAAAATCTCACTCCTGTGAGCTCTGGGGACAGCTGCCTCAGCGCTGCTCTCGCAGCTCCCTCGTCAACAGAAGTTATTAACAGCGCCGGAGAATTTTATCCAAATGCCAGTTTCATCTTGATAAATAACAATTTCATGTCTCTGTTCTACCAGATGACTGCACAGTTTTACTTCAAACACTTAACTTCTCCCGAAATGCTTCCCCATGCACAAGGCTTAGCTCAACTACGGAATGTGTGCTGAGCAGTTTTTATTTTCAGCGGGCTTTGAATACCTGTAATGCAAAGAGCAAACCCATAATCCTGCACCAGCGTCAGTCACTTTTCCCAATAAAGAGCTGCTTCCTTCTGGGACAGCTAAAATGTAATTGAGAGCTCCATGTGTTTTGGTGCCACATCGAAAAGCCTTTTATTAAAAATAGTTTGAGGGTTGTTGAGGAAGAGTCTGCAGCTCCTCTGGGATGTGCAGGAAAGGAGAGCAAGAAGAGGATGCCCTGGGGGTGATGGGTTGGTGTGTCCCCCTGCCCTGCAGGGATCTGCCCCTCAGAACCACCAGGGCTGTCACTGGTTCCCTGCTCACGGATGCTCAGAGTGATGCCAGCGATGCCAGTGCTCTGCTGGCTGCAGTTAATTGCCAGCCT